CCCTGCAGGGAGGTGGCTGCTGGCACAGGATGCTGGGGGAGAAAGTTGGGTCTATTCTGGCTGCGTGGTTGCTCCCCATTACCCATCTCAGGCATCACCAGTGTCTGCCAGTGTCCTTGGTGCATCCACTGGCCTCCATCTCCTCACAGCTCCCCGGCTTCCAGGATCTCCCTCACTTTTAAGAGCTTTCCTCCAGCCAGGAACTTCACCTTCTTCTGTCTGGGTCCCCTTCTTTTTTCCAAAACCACTTCTTTCTGGCACCCCAAAACTCACTTTTCCCCAATCTAAACAGTTTCTGTCCATACACAGAAGTCGTGAGCAGCCTCCTAGCTGGTGGGTCTGTCTCTTCAGTACCTGGAGGGCTCCAGAGGTGCCACCAATTACAGGGAGAAAGCAGCAGGCTTCTGCTTGAGACCTTGAATGTGCAAATTTGGACACTAACACCCACGCATACACCCAGCTACCTACTACCTGTTAGTATTCATGATTTAAGCTATTATTTGCCTTCAAGACCATTTAATACTAGCCTGACTCTACTTCCAGTGAGGACAATTGGATTAATTTTCCTTGTTTCAAAAATTTTCAGTAATAGAATTTTCCAAGGACCATTATTTGTTGCACATAAATGTATTTTTCTGAAGTGGTTCAACTAATCCATTAGAGTTGTTTGCCCACTGGATCCAATTATTCATCTGTGAATAAAACTTTCCAAAGAATATTGTTAATATAAAGAGCTCCAGAAGTATTTCTTGAGCTGATTAAAGGTTTTGTCTGTGCTACAAACCTCACGCTCCTTAACTGAATTAAGGAGCTAAATGCATTTTTAAGCTTTGCTGAAACTATTGGAGGGATTCACTGAACAAAAGAAATATATGACACTTTATTAGCACTTGCTCTGCATTAATATTATGGATTATAAAAATTTTTATGTAACAGATTTCTTTTATTTAAGTACATTAATATGCTATCTGGTCAAGAAACTAGAAACTAGAATACAGCACCCCAGCCACCTCGACTGTTAGTTCAAACCACAGGCAAAATTTAATCAGTTATGTAACTAATGTTAGGCATGTCTGAGTGAAGCCTTTCTCAGACAAACATTGTAACACAAAGCATATATTTTGCTGAATAAAAAGAGACTTCAACATGTCCTTATTTTAAATATATACTTAAGTAGTTCGTACAGCTATGGCCCAATGGTGTTGCTTGGCTTGTTCAATGGTTACAAGCTCTGGAAAAATACTTTATCAACTGCATCCATTACTGGCTGCATGTCAGTGAAGTGGAAGACGGAAGCTCATCACATAGATCCCCTATATGAAATAAGAAGTTCAAAATGTGACTTGATGTTGTTTTCTAGCGAGCTGCTAAAATAAAAATTACAATTTCAGCTTTAGATCAGGTTCCCAAGAGAAGAATGATGCTAACAGACTTTTTTTTAAAACCCGCCCGCAAAGGGACAAAATAGCTATGAAATCCATTTATATCTACCACAGTAACCTTGCATCAATATTCACTAGTATGCTGAGCTGCTGTATGTTGAATGCTGTGTACTGCTATGTCACCGAAGTGTTCGCACATCTTTAGGCCCCCAGCAAGCAAGAGGTAGGAAGGCTCTGGGACCATAGCCCAGAGTGAAATACTGCAGACACCTGCTTTAGACCAGCAAAGCAGGTGCTCCTACAGGAACCACGCAGTGTGTACTGGCCTGAACGTATGCAAAGGTTCAGTTCAAAGAAAGCAATCAACGTGCAGATGGAAAATGCAGGGTAAGGCATGTGAAAAGATAAGACAACCACGAAGCATTAAAATCTTAAGCTTTTCATTGTATTTTAGATTCTATTAGACGCAAAACTGGAAGCACTCACATAATTTACACTGAAACTGTGCTGCTGAATAACGAGATGTTGTTAGTTACAAGGTGACTGACTCATACTAGGTTTTCTTTGAGTGAGAAGACAACTGCTGTGCCCGATAGGTCAGAGTCCCATATGTTTCTACAATAGCAGAGACCTACTTTATTCTGTGATTTGCTGTCAAGGTCTAGTAATACGGACCAAAATGGTTTGCTCATTCAATTACCACATCTTTGTTACTCTAGAAATCAGACGAGCTTTTAAAGAGACCCCATGTGACAAATCAGCAGCCTAGTCTGCATTTTCACAGTCCTTTCCCTGCAGAAAAACCAGGATGTAACAGGAAACACACAGCGGTATCTGCAGTGAGCTTCCTGCCTCCCCCTCCAAAGCTGCAGAAGGCCTACCCCAGCGCAAGTGTGAGGGCACAAGGCTGCCCAGGCCTGGCACCTTCTGCTCTGCTATTTCCCAGTTAAACTCAGTCCTTACTCATTTAAGGCTGCTTTGAGAGAAGAGGCAGGGAGAATTGGCACTTGATCCCTCATTTGCAGCTACATTGGGACTCTGATCACAGAATCGTTAAGGTTGGAAAAGACCTCTAAGATCATCAAGTCCAACTGTCAATCCAACACCTCCGTGACCACTAAACCAGGTCCCCAAGTGCCACGTCTACACACTTTTTGAACACCTCCAGGGATGGTGACTCCACCACTTCCCTGGGCAGCCTGTTCCAAGGGTTGATCACTTTGTATAAGAAACGTTTTCCCAATATCCAGTCTAAGCCTCCCCTGGCCCAACTTGAGGCCATTTCCTCTTGTCCTGTCACTTGTTACTTGGGAGAAGGGACCGACCCCCCTTCCTACCCCCTCCTTTCAGGGAGTTGTAGAGGGCAATAAGGTCTCCTATCAGCCTCCTCTTCTCCAGGCTGAACACCCCCAGTTCCCTCAGCCACTCCTCACAAGTCTTGTGCTCCAGACCCTTCATAAGGAGAGCCCATGGGAGATGTGTTTCCCCAGCAAGGGTTCGGCTCACTGTGGGTTTTAAGATTAGGTCCCACGCATGTGCAAAGCATTTTCCTTGAGGAAAGCACTCAGAATAAAACGACGGAGTTCTGTGCTTATCTTCCTCTTACGCAAAACGAAGAGTTCAAGACAGATTATTATTTTAGGACTACAGATCAGATCACTTTGAGAGTTACCATGATTTATTAACCTGTAACCATGGGATAAGGGAATTGGATACTCATATCTGATGTCAACAGGAGCCAAGCAGCTGATTTCCTCAGGCTCTTCTGAAACCCCAGCGTACATTTCTCAACCAACTGAAAGCAAATTCTCTTTAATTGCAACTCAGAGTGATTTCTTTTTGCTCTGCACAAATATTCTTCTGAGCTTCATCTTATCACTACACAGAGAAATACACTGTTATAGGTGAAAAAAGGTGAAAGGTGAAAAAAAAGGTCCAAATGCATGTGGAAAAGAGAAGTAAAATTAACAGTTGAGGAGTAACTTTTGTAACACTGGCACACAAAGAACTGGCATCAAAGTTTAACCTGGGTATGTTACAAGACTTAAGATGTATTTCAGTATGAGGAGACCAATCCTATAAAGTACTGTAGCATCTGTGATGAATAATCAAAATCATTAAATATAATAATATACTAATCTGTGTAGTAGATGTGCTTCTTTTCTCTACATTTATTATTTTCACTGGTACTCAAAACCCCAAATGAAAGAGGCTTCAAAGCTAAACTATTTATAAGCTAAATAATTCTGTAAAGAGATATTTTGTTATGACATATGAACAGTTTAGCTCATGAGGCACAGACAATGTATAAACATTTAATTTCTAAACTGTCCCAAAGCCCACATTATGTTCTTACACCGACTAAAAATACAACATCCTCTTAGGCAAGACTTTCTCTGGTTTGTTAACAACATCCTCTTTTCTACCAGTTTTCCAGACTCCTTTGTAAATATTGGAAAACTTACCTCTTAAATAAATTAATATGCATAGGAACAGGTATTTTTTCACTTCTTCTTTACTAAAATGGTTGATTTGTTTTTATTTAGACTTTCAGTCTCAGCTCAAAACAAACCTTAAAAACTTCAACACAACCAACGCACACCTTCTTCTTTACAAAATCATTAAAACTTATGTTCAAAGTTATTCATGCGTTTCTCAGATTCTGCTCGCATTTAGAAAGTAACTCTTTTTACTGCAATTAATACTACCTAGGGCTGCTTCTTTTTCCTCTCTGTTGTACATTAAAATTCTTGAGCTCTAACAGCACAGGTTCCACTCCCTCAATATGACAGACAGCAGACCCACACCCTCAGTGGTATGCAGCAAAAATGAACCTACAGCCTTCAGTAGTCCTGAGACTGCTGGGGAATGAAAAAAAAGCCAGAGAGACAAGGAGATTGTGTTACTGATTAATCACTTTTTCAAAATACTCACAGAATATAAGGTCCACAGGTTGTTGGCAAAGAAGTCTTAGGGTATATCCTTCAACTCGTTTATGGGGAATGAAAATACGTAATTCTCTCTAACACGTACAATGTGTAATAACTTTATGGTATTTCTCTTTCTGTACCCATGAATCTCTCCCTACCCAGAGGTGGTGGGTTCTTCAGGATAATACCCACTATCCATTCAGAAGTCTTTCCAAATTTTGCTTTCCCTTATTTAAATGGCAGAGGAGAGGGACCAGGTCATGCTCATGACCTTACCAGGGAGTTTCCATGTCGCTTTGTTTTCCAACAGCTTTGCTTCTTTTTCCTTTTTTCTTCCTCTCTCTTTTTTTTTTTTCAATTGCAAATAAGTAAACTAAAACTTCCAATCTTCAAACAACAAAATCATGACAGAAATCAATAAGCAATATTTTTTTTTACTTTAACCTAAAGCATAACTTATGAGGACAGCTATTCCAATGAAAAGAAATAAAATTTATAGTAATATACTTTTGCCAACCCAGAAGTGTCATCAAAACCGTGGCAGCACAGTTTTTGGCCCTGGCATTTCTGCCAGCAAACTATCAGAAAAAGCACATTATCCATCTCCACTTCCTGGCCTCAAAACATTACTTTTTATTCCTTATTATATTTTCAAAGGGTATAGGATTATTTTTTCAATTAAAACTACCTGTCCCAGTGACCTCCAGTCTAGGCTGGCACTGCCAATGTACACGTGCTGTTTATCAACGATCCAGAAAGAGGACTGCAGCCGGCCTTCATTATACGCTGACATGTTCATGTACATCACTTCAGCACCTGGAGATTTAAGGATAAAAAAATAAATAGCACCATTTAAAATAACATAATTTACATTATTAAGAAAAGAAACAACGTCACATTTCAGGGCCTCAGATTTGAAAACTAATGAGGAATATAATTAAACATAAAAATCAATGATAAACAGTGTTACTGTCCCACGATTTAAGGCCTGAATTAACACACGTTCCAGAAAAGCAGGCGTAGAGAACATTCCCATGCATTACATTGTTTACTTCATTTTCTTCCATTTTAAAACCAAATAATTGCTATTTTTTTCCAGCACTGTATGTTTCCAAAACCAGTTTATTTTTAAGGTCTATTCTGTAACTCAAACCAGCTACATATTATAATGATGACCTTTAAAATACAAACCCAATTACAAGCCCTTCCTGAAAAACAGCCTCTGCTCCTTTGCCCTGTGTGGTGGTTGAGCAGGTACCCCACAGCAGGGTGTCGCACGGGTCAGACCCCAGCAAGAGAACATGGGGGACAATTAAGGAGTAAGGAAGTAAGCAAAGGTCTAAATTCAGAAAATACTTAATATTAGGTGAGTTTAGGGGATTTATCACATCATGATTGTTCTTTTAGCACTCCAGTGTTTGCAACACTGGATGATTAATCTGAATTAATCATTACCAAAACTAATTTAAAGTAACCCACTCATCTTCACGCTTTAGTCATGACGGTAACTGGGGAAGAGCAGTGACAGCAAAGAGCAGCCCAGAGGGCAGTAATGGGACCAGCCCTCTCACATTAAACATTCAGCATCTTCAGTACCACCAGTTCCAGTAATGGTTGGGTAAAAGTCACAGCTTCAAAAGAACTCCAGGATACCTAGAGAACTAAAATAGGATTTTGTTTCATCCAACTTCCTATTTCTGACCTCAAAAGAAACACTCAACTCACAATTTTAAGCAACAGTTACCAGTGCTAAATATTTCTCTTTTTTATTGTGAAAACTGTAATTCTTACTCGAATAAATGATTCTAGAAGTTCAGACATCAAGAAAAGAAAAATCAGGTAAGATGTCACTTTTCATGAAGCACCAAACGTGCAACATAGGATTCTGAGCAAGTGACAGAATTTTGTTCATTGTATATTTACTGCAACCCAGTCACCCTTCCAAGTTTTTTTAGGTATCACCCATCCACATTCATTTATGCTTAGAAGCAAAGGTATTTTCCAATTTTCCTTGGAATGTGTTGTTGCTGACATTCAATCAATGCTTTAATGAGCAGAACTGTGCTAATTAATGAGATAATGTGAGTGAAATGCAAAAGAAATCCAAAACCACTACATCAGGTCTTAAAAGGTTTAAATTGTTTTCTGATGAATAAACAAAAAAAAGGCAACTCCTTCAACTAGCTGAGGAAAACAACTCTGTAAGGTGCTAAACTTCTAGCTGCTTATCTGAAAACTGTGTTTAAAATTAAGTTTACCATAGCAGTTTGCCTTGATCATATTTTCTTCCCATACATCCAATTTGCAACATAAAACAGCAGCATGAATTTAACATCCACAACCCACCTATGTAAAATAACTTCTAAATGAAAGGTTCAGATTTCTGTATAGGAAAGGTAAAAGTTGAAACCAATGAGCTGCTTGCTCAGAACTGAGCACCTAAAATAAACATAGTTTAAAAACATTTTTGAAATATCCAATACGGATTGCCCAAGCTACAAGAGGAGACTATTTAACCAGCAATAGCAATGTTAAAAACAGCAGACATTGTCAGTAACCCGATACAAAACTCAAAAGTTGTAAACACCAGAATTTGTGGGTGTGGGGCAGTTTATACACAGGCATAAGCAGTCTGATAGAGCATTTGCTTTAAAATATAATCTAGGCTTCAATTACAAAAAAAGTGAATATGGCAGCGCAGGAGATCCTGCTATTACACATTAAAGTCAAAACCTGGAACCCAATTTCTTTTTCTTCTGGAAATAGCCAACTCTTAAAGGCAGAGGAAACTGCATCCCTGAGTTAATTAAAACAGTCACGTGTGGCAAGCAGCAGCTGCTGTGCAGCCTATTAATGAGCCCTTAACTTCTGATGAAAGGAAACATGCATCAGTATTGATAATTGCCTCTCTTCTAGAAGCCCTTGAGATGTTTTGTTATAAAAGGCTTATCAGGCCTTCACCACAATCCCTCATCCCCAGCGTGGTCCGGGTCCCACAAGGAAATTAAACTGGACTGATCAATACACGAAGCTGTAACAGAACTCTTTTATCGTGCTGCCGTCTCAATTACACAGAGCTGTGGGTGGACCAAGTTCAACCAAAAGGCACAATTTGTAGGCTTGATTGCTAATGCAGATGGCAGACTCTTCAAAAAATAAATCTAGCAATTTCATTTCACTGAAGATTAAACTGCAGGGTGAGATTTTGGAGAAAACCAGCGCTGCTGCTTACAAACTCAAGTGGATTTGCCTGTCCCATAACATCACGTGTTGTAAAGACTGGGCCAGACTGCCCTCCTCCTGCAGGAAAAAAGACAACTAGAGGAATCAAAGCATGCTTTAATTAATAGACATTTCTCCAAGTATTTTTTCTTCTAAGTGAAGAAGTTTTGCACTCTGCAGAAGGGAGATGACTGAAGCTGTCTGGAGTGACCCTTGAGAGCCTGGACCTTCTCCATGTGATGGGAACACAGCCCCTGGGAGGTGCCCAGCTGCTGCTCAGCTCCTTGCTCTGTCTCACAATGGAGGAAAAATCCAGAAGACAACAATAGCACTGCAAAAGCACTGACTTTTCTTTCCTTTCCCAAAGAAAGTAAATTCCCAAAGGAATCCCAAAGCAGAAGGATGGCACAAGTAAGTGCCATTTTCCAGGCTCTTCTCAGTTGTGCCCAGCGACAGGACAAGGGGCAGTGGTCCCAGACTGAACACAGGAGGGTCAACATAAACAAAAGGAAAAACTTATTTCCTGTGAGGGTACCAGAGCACTGGACCAGGCTGCCCAGAGAGGTTGTGGAGTCTCCTTCCCTGGCGCCGTTCAACACACACCTGGACGCGTTCCTATGTGATCCTGCTCTAGCAGGGAGTTGGACTGGGTGATCTGCAGAGGTCCCTTTAAAACCCATCTATGCTGTGACCATTTCTAGCCTTGCAACACCCCGTTCGCTCCAGCTGTCTGCTCCCAGGCCCTCCAGTAATGACACCATGCAGGCCACAGGGCAAGCTTAACTTCAAGAACAGGAGCTGAAGGGTAGGACCTTTTCTACATATTTGAGTCAAAACACTAATCAGTTTGCAGAAGACTTTACGCATATATTCTGTTATGAAAAACCGTGTGTCATTGTGATGCGCATATTGGTGTGGCTTTTTCTGCTGCTCAACCAAGTCAACAGGCAGCAGCACAAACTGGGATACTTCTTCATGGAGACAGGAGGAGCCCATGGCTCACAGGGCTGCCACTCAGCCTCCAGATCCAAGGTTACATGACAATTTGGAGAAGGTGCACCAGGAGGCTTTGGATCCAATGCCTGAGAGCAGTCTAGAGTATCACCAGGTTGTCCTGGTACAGAGGCAACCTCACGGAGGCAAATAACCTCTCTGGTGGATATGGTAAACCTTTTTTGTAAAGACCAAGAAAGAGCAAGCATTTAGGCTGCTATTATCACAGCTGTTTTGGAAGCAAGAGTGCAAACGCTGTCTGTAACAGTTTCCAACAGCGCCAGTTACCGGCTGAACTCGCTCTGGAGTTAGCAAACACAACGCCCAAGAAACAGAAGCTGCATTTGCTTGTACCGCAGCTAAAATTTGCCTTCTGTCTTCATAACTTTTTTACTTTCACTATAATGTGTTTAAAACTAGAGAGAGAAATGGGAAAGGAGGAGGATTTAAGGACTGAGAGGAGGGCAGACAGAAGCTGCAGCAACAGTGACAGTGCAACAACATGCACAGCAAGGATGAGAAACGCACCAAGAGCCCTGACCTCAGAAGCCTTGGCAATAAGAAACAGAAAAGAGGGTGGAGAGATCTGGAGATACAGATCAGATGGCACAGATTGGGGCTGTGTGCCCTGCAGAGCCCCAGCAAAAAGGGCTGTGGAACCAGGCTGGGCTTTGCTACCTCCTGCTAGGAACGGGAGAGTTGTAAAGATGGAGGAGATGAACAGGGGCTTTTCAAGACCTCCTCTTCCCCATTTTGGGAAACCAGAGCCTGTCAAGTGCAGGCTGCAGAGACACACCAGCTGACAGAGGGTGGAGCACATTGGAGTGGGAGGACCCTTATCACCATGTCCATACCCCTTGCTCACAGCACTATTTCCACTCCCCCTTCCTAATTCTGTGTATTCCCAAACAATTACTCCAAGTAACAAGAAGTTTAAAAAGGAGCCCCATGGGTGGGAGGCAGCACATGCAGCACCCGCCACTATGCCAAAGACCTGCTGGATTCTTCCAGCAAAACTGCGTTTTCAAGTTGGTGTAGATGCAGTTAATCACCATGTGCTAACTCAGAACGGTCAACAAATGATCCTTTACTACCCCTAGGTCCCAAACTTATTATTTTAAATAGAATTTGCTCGCTAGAATAGGGATGTGTACTCATCTAAAGTGAATGTCTCCTTCCCTACATTTTGCAAGACATTTTCTTTTTATTTATTTGCTTTTAATTAAAAACCTTAGCACAAAGTATACCCACGAATAAAAATAATTTTTATTCCAGAGACAAAAGATAAAATCCAGCATTTTTCCATACTCTGCTCACAAGTGGCAGAGTAACTGTGTCGTATTGGGCAGACACAAGTGACCCAGGCAGAGCATCATCTCCCCAGGAGTTTTCATGCTTTTTTTCCCTCGACTGATTGCAGAAAGTCTGGAGCAGCTCCAAAAGCCCCATTAGTGTGACCTGCTGGGGCAGTACAAAAGCAGAGGAACGCACAACTTGACAACAAAGTTATTTTTACTATGCCTCTGAATGACTAAAAGACAAAATAGACTATTTACTGTATCTGTGCTCTTTATGGATATTGGATGTGAAATACAATTCAG